CAAAAGTAGTTTAAGCAATTGTCCCAATGTTATGCAAATAGGTGCCTATGATACAGGATTGCCTAATATTCAGGCATGTACAGTATTATTTCCATTTTAGAGATGAGGAAATTGAGGCTTGGAGAAGTTAAATAATTTGCCCCAAATCACATAGCTCATAAGTGGTACAGCCGGGATTCAAACCCAGGTGTATCGTCTTATTCCCACATCCTCATTGTCAATCCTCCTGAGATGCTTTCCTCCACCTTTAATAAGGTTTTCAATTTAGGAAATCACTGATCTTTTTCTTCCTTCTTATTGAGGTACCATTCTGAGAGCAGAGGAGAGCGGCCAATGGATATACATTCAGGCTGGAGCCGTGCTTTTATAGATAGCACTAGGATGGTCTAGTTGACCTTCCGAGCCGAAATGGCGCAGGTTCCGTCTGCTCCATCCGGGCAGATGACCACCCTGCCTCCCTTTGCCATTGATGGGAGTCCACTGCTTCCGGCTCAGTCCTTGGCTGATGGCTCTGGTTGTTAGGAGTTCTTCCAACACTGAGTCTTCTCTTCCCTCCCCTTCCCCTTCCCCTTCCTTCCCTTCCCCCCTTCCCTATTTTATTTTAGAATACTTTTAGATTTACAGAAAAGTTCCCAAGATAGTACACAGAGTCTCTGTATATCCTTCATTTTATTGTTAAAATCTTATGTTACTGTGATACATTTGTCAAAACTAGGAAACTAACATGGGTACATTACTATTAACGATAAACTCCAGACTTTATTTAGGTTTCATTAATTTTCCCCTAAAGTTGTTTATGCGTTCCAGGAAACTACAATTACATGTAATAGTTATGTTTTCTTAGTCTCAACCAGTACGTGACAGTTTTTCAGTCTTTCCTTATTGTTCATGACCTTGACAGTTTTGAGAAGTACTGGTCAGGTGTTTTGTGGAAATGTCCCTCAATTGGGATTTGTCCTGGTTAGACTGAGGTTATGGGTTTGGGGGAAGAATACCACAAAGGTGAAGTGCCATTCTCATAACATCATCTTGGGGAAGATGACATCACCTTAGGGACATATAATATCAATATGATATCACTGGTTGTGTTAGCCTTGATCTCCTAGCTAAGATAAAGTTACTCCTCACTCCCCTTGCCATACTCTATTTTAGAAGCAAGTCACTACATGTAGCCCATATTCAAGCAGTGGGAGAATTAAACTCCACTCCTGGAAGGGAGAGCATCTATATAAGTTATTTGGAATTCTGCAAGAAAGATTTGTCTCTTCCCCTGTATTTATATTTATTAATCTAATCACCCATTTATATCCATGTGGACTGATATTTACTATATATGTTGACTTATAATCAAATACGACTTTTATTTATTTTGTTCTTCAAATTGTTTAGTTTTGGTCACTGGGAAATCTTTCAGTTGGCTCCTGTCTCTCTCTCTCTCTCTCTCTTTTTTTTTTTTTTTTAGCACTTCCTTACTTTCTGGCCCTAAGATCTTCCAGGACCATCTTGTATGTTCCTTGCCCCATCTCAGAGTCAGCCATTTCCCCAAGGATCCTTGGTTCCTTGTATTGAAGAGTTATATCAGAAACTAAGGTCTGGCCACCAGGTGAACTCACTGCTACCGGGTGTTGCTACTTCCAGATTCTCTCAGTAGACGGTTGGAAAATACACGTGTGCGTGGAGCCCACGCTACACAGATAGCTACAGTTATTTCTGGATCCGTTCATCTGTATCTACGGTGAAGCTTTCTTTTGAGCATTTGTATTTTGCTGTGTAGCCAACAGTGAGAATGTGACTCGCTGCCTTCTACCACCAGTGGTACAGGGAGAAAAACGGGCAGTGGGGGCAAGACAGTGAAAGTGGAGACCTGGGCATAATGTGACTTGTTGCCACTTAGAGCCAACCTCTAGCCAGGTCGTGTCAGTTTAGAGACAAAGAGATGCCCTGAGGTTAAGGAACTAGTTGCAGGGGTCCTCAAACTTTTTAAACAGGGGGCCAGTTCACTGTCGCTCAGACCGTTGGAGAGTGCACACTGTGGGCCCGGGACGAGTCAGCTGCTAAGCAGGACAGGCAGTGGCGGCAAAAACACCCGGCGGGCCGGATAAATGTCCTCGGCGGCCCACGGGCCATAGTTTGAGGACACCTGAGTTAGGGGAACGATCAAGATTGGAATGTGGCTATTGGAAATGGAATCTCCTTATTTCCACCATACCCCAGGCCTCTGTAAGACGGGTCTGTATTCTTGGTTTTCTATTCAACTCACTTATTGACTTCTTGAGATGCATCAAGAAATCTTAGGATGCAATTTTAATAATTGGTATGTACAATAGAAGTCTGCAGAGATCACTAATGAGGGGTTTTGCTCTCTAGCATGTATCGTAGATCAATGGAAACGAAGACTGAAGGCCAAGTGGCAGTGAGTGAATCTTTACAAATGATTATGATGATTATCCTACTCTGTTTTACTTTTTGTAACTATCTTTTTTTTTTTTTTTTTGAGACAGAGTCTCACTCTGTTGCCCAGGGTAGAGTGCCGTGGTGTCAGCCTAGCTCACAGCAACCTCCAACTCCTGGGCTCTAGCGATCCTCCTGCCTCAGCCTCCCCAGTAGCTGGAACTACAGGCATGTGCCACCATGCCCGGCTAATTTTTTCTATATTTCATTGGCCAATTGATTTTTTTCCTATTTTTAGTAGGGACGGGGTCTCACTCTTGCTCAGGCTGGTTTCGAACTCTTGACCCTGAACGATCCTCCCGCCTCGGCCTCCCAGAGTGCTAGGATTACAGGTGTGAGCCACTGTGTCTGGCCATAACCATCTTTTAAAAAATCCTTTTGCAAGGGGGGGAGAGAACCATAGGGTTCCTAGAGGACAGATGCTTTATGTATACACCTGCTTTTTAAAAATGAGATATCAAGCAATGAAGGAATCTGCTTATTGTCATCCAAGGCGGTGGGAATGGAGTAAACAGCAAAAAATGAGAGCTGAGCCTTCGCAGCCCTCTTTTAACAAGCCAGCCACAGCACTCCTTTCCTTTAAATTGCTTCTGGCAGCTTGTAAAGCAAAGAAAGAACATTTGGGGGTCCCTCTAGAGAGACTCCTGAAGCTATAGGGACGTCCTAGGCCGCCTTTAGACCTTTTGGCCCCGGGTTCTTCGGAGGAGGATGTGTGTTTATATTTGGTAGATCGTGCAACGGTGAAATCTCTGTTCTGTTCTCTTCTACATCTTTACCTTATCCATTCCAAAGACTCAGCGTTTCGTTTTTGTGTGGTACATCGTGAACATCCAAGATTTTTAGTGGAAATAAATGGTAACAGCTGTTTTTGTGTATGAAATATAATTAGGAACCTTAACCTCGAGATGATATATCCAAATTTTTCCAGGTGTGGAAATGACTAGAAAAGCTCATTTTTGGTAATCGTCCCAATATAGAACAACATTAAGCTGTTCCCTGTTAGCTCTCTCTTCAGAGAGAGACTTTCTGTGGAATAAAGAGAGCTCTCTAATAAAGAGTTCTTCTTCTTTATTCCAATATTCTCTTTTCAACATGGCTTTTCCTATGTAAAATAGTGCATATTTGCACACACACACACACACCCTAAAGTCCCATCTTTTTTCTCTGCTTTATTTTTCTCCATAGCATTTAGCACTGTCTAAGATACTACAAGAGTCCCCCTTTATCTGCAGGGGACATGTCCCAAGATCCCCCGTGGACCCCTGAAACTATAGCACTGAACCCTATATATGCTATGTCTTTTCCTATACATACCTATGATAAAGTTTAATTTATAAATCAGGCATAGTAAGAGATTAACTATAACTAATAATAAAATAGAACAGTGAATAGCAATATACTGTGATAAAAGTTATGTGAATATGGTCTCGCTCTTTCTCTCTCTCAATATCTTATTTTATTTGATATTGTCAGAACAGGGTTGACCACAAATAAGTGAAACCATGGAAAATGAAACCACAGATATGGGAGGACTATTCTTTACATTTTATTTCTTTAGCTTTTTAAATGTTTTCCCTAAGTAGAATGTAAACTCTATGAGAACAGAGTTTGTTTGTTCACTACCCTATCCCTAGAACATAGTAGGTGCTCAATGAACACTTCTGAATGAATAATGTAAGTTGCAAGTTGTGATAATTTGGCCCCTGATTTCAATATAAATACAAATAGTGGAGTTTTATCTTATAGGGCTATTTTATATTATAAGTGGAATTAAATTGCATTATTTAAAATGGGGATTTATCTATTTCTGCTAGAAATATGTGTACCTTCTTGGAAGTTATGCAATTACTCTAATAATATAATGCTATTATCACATGCAAAGAATTTTGAAATTCTTTGCTAAACATCGCTCAAGAAGTTGGTAGAAGAGCTAAAAGCAACAAATTTTAAAACTCATTTTAACATGAGTTACTTGCAGATTCACCCAAAGAAATATTGAACCCTAAGTGACATTACCCAGTTTGATCCCTTATTCTGTTCACCAGATTTAGGAGAAGATGACTTTTTGTTGCTATAAATATTCTAATATTTGCCAAAATAGAGACTATTAAAAAGAATATGCTGTAAAATGTGCAATGATTCCTTTCAAGGAGTATCAGCATTCATTTGGATATATAGACACTGCTATGTTTGGTTTCTAAATCATATTATATTACAAATATGCTACTTTTATTTAAAATTTCAAGTGTGTGAAGTATTTACATTTTCATTTTTAAAATTGAAATGACTCCTACTTAAGCACTATTAAGGTGCTATATGAGGGTCTGAAACTTGTCTAGCCATTTTATAAACGAGGTCTTTCAAAACAAAAACTCCACTGCCAAACTTCTTGCAGTGTTCTCTGCAGGACAAGAAACACACAAGTGAAAAGCAGTGTGGTCAGTGAACATCACAGACGTGTTTGCAAGCTGTCTGTGGACTAAGGTGCTGCATAAATTATGTCTTTGCATAAGATTGACTTGTTTCCATATTATCTTTTTTTATTTCAGAGCCTTGGGGAGTCAGCGATGGCTGTTGTATTAAATCAGCTGTTGCCCATGATTAAGCCCTCGAATCAGAGGACTCAGGATGACTACAGCCCCGAAGAGCTGCTCGTCCTCCTCGTCTATATTTATTCTGTCACTGGAGAGCCCCCAGTGGACAAAGAGCTCGGGGAGGCTGAAGAAAAGGTGAAGAAAGCGTTGGCTCAGGTCTTCTGTGAGGAGTCCGAGCTGTCACCGTTGCTGCAAAAAATCACAGGTGAGTGTTCAACAGAGATATAGGCCGTAAACACCATGATGGAGAAAACAGGCTCAAAAAGAGAGGGAAGAGGATGGAACCATCTCCATTGGAGTTGTTTGGAATTGCACGAAGCCTGATGAATGCTAGCCAGCCAAAAGGGTCAGAGGTTTTCAGTGCCGTGTTTTTTTTTTCCAGGCATGGTAGTGAGATGGCCTTCTCTCTGATTGCTTGTCAGAATTCATATTCTTTAGAGCCAAGACCTTGTTAAAATAGCAAAATACTCACCAAGCATCGTGTTATCTGTAAGGCAAAACAAAATGTAGTGCATCCTATTCAAAGGGTTTCTATTGACATATTGTCTTCGAGATTGGCTTTTCAAATTTAAACGACTGTTTCTTTTATATGATATGCAATGTCATAGGCTTGGAAATTGCCATTTTCAAGAGTGGTCTCATAGTTTGACTTCTCGTATTTGATTTTGAATTTGAATTAATCGGTAATATCCCAAATAATGCTGAAACATCCTGGTAAAGTAGGCTCTTGGTAATTTGGGGAAAATAGATAATTAAATTTCATGAAATCTACCTATTTTCACTTCCAGTAAGAACTGCAGTGTAAGTCATAGAGACATCTACTTGTGTTATTTTATATCAAATTCAATATTATTTGTATTTTATGTCAAGCTGATTTCCATTGGTATGAATTGAGCCTGTGTCTATATATGAGAATGAGAAGTCATTAAAGCTTATGTGTAAAACATGAGTGCTTTAAAAACATACCACATTTCCACTGAGTCACTGGTGAACATGTGTGTATAGTGTGTGTGTGTGCGTGTGTGTTTAGATGCATCCGTGATCTGTGTAGACGTCTCCATTCGGGAAGGCTCAACGGTTGGTCCTCACCGGGTTAGAATGCGGGTTTCTCTGGGTCAGGCTGCGTAGCTGTGAACGTCACTGTCCCACGCACGTGTCCCTCATTTGTGCACGCCGCTGACCTCTGTCATGGTCGGTTATGGAAAATGAAACCCTGCCAAGAAGGAAACTGAATGAAGTTTCCATAGCAACGAAACATTTGCTTTCTCAGTATAGAACCTGTTTGCCAACTTAAAACCTACTTAAGAAAAACTCATGGAATTGATTCCCATTTCATGAGGTACAGCACTGTATGTGATTACGTGTGTGTTTGGCTACAAATAAATATTGACTCAGAAAGGTTTAAAATGATTAATACAGTGCTTTGGTTTACAGTAAATTTGAACTCTAGGAGAATTTAAGTAGAAATTATTCTTCCGATACCTAATGTCACAAACAGTTAACGAGAATGGTGTTTTGACTGAGGTTATTTGGATAGCTTTTTGTAACTCTCGTATGTTGCTGTGTTATTTTTGGAATTGAAGTCATGCTGTAAGAGTTTTCATTTAATATTCGCTCGAGGTGTTCACTGACCCAGCATTTTATTTTTTATTGGTTTCTCTCTGATTGCTCAGGATATTGCATTTTCTTGCTTTTAAAATACTTCTGGGCGTTCAGGTTTGTTTATATTAGGAAAATTTGTAAGCTCAGTGGTTGAAGATTGAAAATAAGAATTTGTGGAAATGTTGGTGACTTTTTAAATTTTAGAGACATCTTAATTTATAATACTAAGTATACATTCCTGCTTCGATTAAGTTTGGATATACAGTTTCAACAGGGTAGAGAAGATGTGTTGCTTACATTTGTCATAAGTAAACTTACCACTAGAACATAATCATGCACACACACACATCAACTTTTGGGGACACCAAAAGGTCTTTATTTCTGACCAAAGACTTTTACTTGGCCAGTATAGACATAACCCCTTATGAAGTATGTTGAGAAGTCGCATGTCCTGAAAAGAAGCGTTTATGTTTATAGTTAGCTGCTGAGAAGAATATTTACCTTATAGCTCAGGATAAGTTAAATATTCTTCTCAGAATATGCTATGACTTTTTATCCTGAGATATAAGTTAAATATGCTTCTCAGCAGCTAACTATAAACATAAATCCTTCTTACTACTCAATTATAAAAAAACAATGGTGATCTAGCACCTCTTATATTTTCCTGGTTAATATTTTAGATATTGCTTGTTGCTTTTGAATGTGTCTATTTTGGCTACTGATAGATATTTCCCAGAACTTCCTGTTTTCATGCATATGTCCTCTTAATTTTCCATATTGTTACAAAGAAATTAAAATAGCCATTGCAATTGGTTGTCTAGCTTTCTAAAACAGAAGTAGCACACTTAAATTCTGTTTATTTCAATAATATCTCTTGACAGTGATTGTCATGTGCTTAAAATTCATATTCATTTTTATCTGTTAAATATGCAATTTGCCCTTGACAATTTCTTTCATTTCCCTATATTCTTCCCTTGTATGGAAAGAACAATAGGAAACTGTGATCGGCAAACCAAAGCCAAACAAAACAGAACTTTAAGAATGGTCAATGACAACATAGTATTTTCTTTTTAATCTGCTCTTTTTAATAGATACTTTTGGGGAGATTTCTAGAGTGGTGGGCAAAAACTCTTTTCTATTCACAAAAAACAACAAGGGTTGGCTCTCTGAATGTTGGGAGTAGGAAGCTAGAAAAAGAAAATTGGTCCAGCCTGAATATGTTGATTAGTGTTATGCTTTCTCAGTCCTGCTAAGTTCAAAGAGGGTATCACTTTCCATATATGTTGGTGTTTGCATGGCAGTCACAAGAGAAAACAAAGGAAAATCGTTTGAATTTTCTTCAGAGAATGAAATCAAAATGCTATTTCAAAAGATCTGTATAAACTTGGAATGTCATCATATGGGGAGGTATATCCAAAAAAGCATAGCATTTGGATGTAGAAATTCTTGATTTAAAAGTCCTGGCTTTGCCATTTCCTAGCAGAGTGTGTCAGTGTGCAAATCAACCATCCTGGAACCTTGATATTAAATAGAACTGCCCTGTTGACCCCTTGTGATTTTGCTGAGAATAAAATGATGTTATGTGTGTTAACTAATTTTTGGTCCATATAGTATTGTAAATAGGTTATTTCTTCCCCCATCATCATTATTACTTTAATAGCATCTAGCTGTCATCCAGGGTGGTGCTTCCCAAGCTTTTTTCCATTGTGGTGCACGGAGACAACGAGAATATTCCCATAGTAGGCCCTAGAATATTCCCATTCTAGGCCCTGCTCAGTTCACCTGTGGACTTGATAATACCGTAGGAACTACAATTTACATCCATTAAGCTCTTATTTTACTTCCTGTTGATAATTTGGAATGATCAATTACTATATCATTGAATACATTAGGATACCCAGATATATGTAATGAAAAATTTACCAGATTATCTTCACAAATAGGGATTAATTTTTCTCAACAAGAAGTTCAGAGACAAGCAGAATCTATGCTCTTTCTGACTTCCTTCCTCAATGTCCTGAAGATGTGGTTTTTGTCATCACTGTCTTAATGGGCATTCTCCTCCAGGCATTTGCTCATGCTTATTCAGGAAGAGAAGAAGGATGAAGGTGAAAGGTATATATATACTAGCTGAGCCTGCTCTTTTTTATTAGGAAAACAATAGCTTTCTTGAAAGCCCCACTCAGAAGACTTGCATCCTTGGCTAAAACTAGGTTTCACCTCTGCCTGCAAGAGAATCTGATGACTGTGTATTTTTAACTGGGCTTATATTTGTCATGAACAAAGTGAGGATTCTGTTAGAAGAAAGGAAGTGAGAATGGATTTTACGTAAGAAACTTGTATTTTCTATAGTTATCACTATAGACTTCCCTGGCAGAGGAAATTCTAAGGCAGGATCATATACTTGGAGGTGGAATGATGCTCAGAGTGTTTTCATTTGACAGTTATAATATTGCAATTTTTTTTTACAGTGCACACCGAAATAATGATCTGTTGTGTGTTGGTATCAGTGGACTTACATCACAAACGTTTTCCACTTACCAATATTTACTGAACACGTCTATGTAAATCTAAGCTCTGTAAGCAGCAAAATCTTGGAACCATGGTAGTAGTGTGCAGAGGCTCTGAGCACAGGATTTGGAGTCAGGTGGATCTTGGTTCTGGTTTTGCTTCTGACTCTTAGTAGTTGTGTGCTCTTGAGTAGGTCATTTAACCTCACTGATTCTCGGGTTCCTCATGTATAAAATGGTGATAATACCAAACTCATGAGAAAAAATAGTCGAAGTGCTTGGCACAGATCCTGGTACATTACCTGTCACCAGTGTATGTTATCTATGTCATCATCGTTATCGTTTATTGTTATTTTGTCATTGTTATCATTATCATCCTTCAGCAATGTCTCTCCTCAAAGAACTCACAGAAATATTTTAGAGACAAGACTAACACAAAAAACGATGTAAAACAACATAATCAATATTTTACCAAGTATTAGTGAAGTATCCAAAATGTATAAAAATGAATGTTATGATGACTTGGTATTAAGTGATATGTATTGATGAAGACTTTCAGTTACCGTATTATGTCTGACCAAATAGAATTCCTTACAGACAAAGGTTAGGGTAATACCAGGAAATAACTGCATTATAATTCCTGATAATCCTAGATAATAAAACTCTAGTGCTCAAAGCACTTTCATACATAATATCTCCTTTGATCAGAAAAGAACACATAAGTTTGAGCCCATAAACTTGCATGTCTAATAAATACATCCCAAATATTTGAGCTCAGGTGAATTTGTCTGTAATGCCAACATCTCTTTGAGATAATTTATTTACAAATGTATTGCTAGTTTTTCAGACATGTTTTGGGACAGCGGATATAATATTGTATCTAAATTTAGAAATAGTAGAGTTATAGTTTTCACTGTTTGCATTTTTTCCATGGAAGTTTGTTTCTTTAATAAACCCAGGTATCCTTTTGGGATGTTTTCTAGTTGCCTGAGTTTTTATGGTAGGAATAAGGATTCATAAAGGATAGTATTATGCATTTTATGGATGGAAATGCTCTCAGCAATTTCTAGTCTATTCACTTTGCACATGAGGA